GAAACAGTGGTTCTCAGAATTCTCCCGTCACCTGGACACTTGTTGGCAAGGCAGATCCCTGGGCCAGGAGTCTGGGTTTCACGGGCCCCTGGGAGAGGCTGGGGAGGCTGATGCGTGCCCAAGTTTGAAAATGGAAGCTCCAATGAGGGGCTGTCACAGGAAGGCTTCCCAGCTTCAGCTTTCCTGCCCACCCTGTGCGCCTCAGACCCCTCCTTGTGACCAGGTCCCCTGTAAAGCTGAGTTGCTCTCCCCTTTCTCCCGCCTTCTAGCCCATGCAGTTAGGGACACATACCTGGCTCTGTAATACACCATCTTCTCTGCTGTCCCTTGTATTTTTTCTCATTCTTTCCACTTACTGTTCATTTATTCAGCCACCAAGGGGCATCTTTTGTGTTTTCACCTTAAATACAAACTTCAATCAGGGGGCCACTAAGCCTGTTTCCAGAAGTCTCCCTTGTTGGCTCCAGTCCGTGGTAATGGCTAATTCCCTCCTGGGGGAGCCACTCAGAGTCTGGAATTGCAGAAGGAAGAACAGCCAGGTCAAACAGTCTCCTGGTCCTCTGGCCCTTTGTCTGCTGGGGAAACTCCTAGTGACATTTGTTACTTTTTAGCTTGTGCCCCAGCAGACTGTAGCTTTTGAGGGTAGGGTTGTTCCTAATGAAAGGCTGCTCCATTGAAGGCCAGGCCTGGTGTACAGAGAGTTCTCTTCAGAACTAATCTGAAAACTTTCCTGGGAAAGTTTTCATTTATTTTGCTACTAGTGAGTTTTGTTCCTTATCTTTTCAATTTAGTTTGCTGCAGTGTATGCTAAAGTTTGTTTTTAAAGATACAGATGGGGCTGGTGGGGGGGGGTAGCCCAGTGGCAGAGAGAGCACTTAAGCGTAGCATGTGCGAGGTCGGGTTCCTTTCCCAGCACCACAAAAAAATCTGTAAAAGTACAGAAAAGTTAAGAATTGTTTCTAACAAGTTCACTGGGGAGGGAGGGTGTTCCATCTCCAACCTTGTAGTAAGAGTCAGTGAAAATTCAATAGAAAAGTGGCTGGGCTTAGTTTTGAGTCCCCTTTGGGTAGCAGAAGAGGGAGGGAGCACCTGCCTGATTTCTCCATATGGAGGGATCTCTGACCCACCCCAAAGCTCTGGGTCTTTGGGGGCTTTGTCTGAAAAACTGGGTAGAAGACGCAGGGTTTGGACTTTAGTCTTCACAAGCAAAAGGAGAGGAGATCGAGTGGGCGACAGATCCCTGGGGTGGCCTGGAAGCAAGCAAGTCACCAGCCCGTGCTCCGGGTGAACTCCAGGCCCATGAACTGCACAGCCAGCCGAGGGGAGCCCCCTTCCGCCGCGTTCCCTGGAAGCCCTTAATGAGCTCCTGCTACTGCTGCATCTGCAAGCTGCTGCCTAGTGAGGCCTTTTGAAAGGTCACGTGCCTCTCCAACTGCGCTTAAAGAACTATTGTTATTTTCTCAGAAAGCCCGAGGAGAAAGAGGCTTCTGAGGAGCTGGCGACCCTGGCCATGGCCAGCCTGAGCCAGGCCCAGAGAGGCCAGGAGGGGCCCACGCGTCTGGCTTCCTGCCCTCTGGTTCTTGAGGGCATGTCTTGTCTTCTCTTCTTTCAATTGTGCCCTGCTTAAGGAGGTGGTGGTTAACACAGAGTCCTGAGAAGGGGAGTTCTCGCTGCCCTTCCCCTTCAGGAGTTGGAGGCCTCCTGACCAGGCTAATTGGAATGTTGCTGTGGCGTCTGAAGCAAACTCAGGGGCAGCTTTCTTTTTAAATAAAAATGTGGAATAGATCTTGATCATGTTACACTTTTATTCCTTTCTTAAGGATTTAGAATTAGGATTAAAAATCAGGATGGTGTGCATTTTGCAATTTTAGTGGGTGTGTGAAGCCGGCCCTGCCTCTCCACACAGCAGAGAAATGAAGACAGACCTGCTCAGAGACATACTCTTATCAGGGGACCGCATTTACACATTCCAGGAGCACCCGGGCTTCAAGTTGTGTATCTGTTCCTGCTCACCAAGTGTTGCTCACCGGGGCCCTCCACCCTCCTGGTTCAGGCAGTATCACAGATGTCTTCTCAGGCTTTTCCTAAATCATTAGGATTGTCACAGGGCTCTGACCAGCTGGATCTTCCCTATTGGAAACCAACGGGAATCTCTCTGAGAGTGCCACCTCAGATCTTTAAGTACTGAGTGGCCTGTTTGCTTCTTAAATATTCGAGTACAGTAAGTTCAATAATTATTTCTAGGAAAATGTATTATTGAAAAAGTACTGTTGTTTATTATGGTAAAAAGTCTTTAAATAGTTCTACATTGATGGGTAAAGAAAAGTTTATACCCGCCTTTAGTTTTATTTTGGTTTACATTTGAGGACAGTGCTTCTCCAGACTTTTCTGTAGTGATGGACCATCTTGCTTTTTCCTCTCAATCCTTTATGGACTTTAGTAAAACATAACAAAAATAACTACTTGAAAAGTGAAGTAAAAACAGAAAGATGTAAAAGGTAAAAGCTCCTGTTTTAAAATTAGATGTGCAAACATACAATTACTTTGTTAAGTTTACTGTAAAAGTTTATAAATAAAACTATATCTCTACTTCCCTCATTGCAAACTGATGACAGTTCGTATGGGTCCCATCTGTGGGCCACACTTTGACAAACACTGTTTTAGATGGTGCATGTGTGTATTTGTGTACTTACATATATATTGCACTGGCCTGATAACATTATAATGTAACATGGATCCAATAGTAACTTTATGTGTGAATTAAATGTACCCAGAAGCTATTTGGCAAAAGTGAGGTGTTGTTGATGTTGTTGTTTTTAAGCAAGTATTTAAATGTTCAAATTGTAAGGGTATACAAATACACAAATAGTATAATTGTGAATACAACTATGTGTTTCAAAACTCAGATGTCTGGTAACTTTTTTTTTTTTTTTAATTTTTGCAGTCCTAGGGATCGAATCCAGGGCCCCATGTATGCTAGGCAAGCACTCTACCACTAAACTATATCCCCAACCTGGTAACAGTTCTGATGTATAAAGTAGAAACTGTTGTGCAAAGTGAAATGAAACCACCTCTACTCTGTTTCACCCTCAAATTTAAATGAGCACAGATACTTTAGATAGGAAATGGCCTATGCAAAGCAGATACACAAATGAGACTTTTAGCACTGAATGATAGGAACCCTGTCATATGAAGTGTTAGATAAGCCAGTTCTTACTATTGTACCTTCCTTGTCTCAGAACGGTTAATTACAGGATGGATCTTTGGTCTTTTTGGTCCTAGTGATTGACAGCCATTTTGTTAATGCTTACAGAATGAGGGGAAATCTTTTGTACAAGTACCTTCACATTCTTTGTAAGCATTAACAGATCTCAAGCTGATACTGATGACAACTGATAGGTTGCAGTTGTCGTTATCTCCTGGTGACTGGGGCATTGGAAGTCAGTCACCACACTTGGGATTGTATGCCAGGCACTGTCTCCTGTATGTGTGCCTCAGGGGACAGCACGGTCATCTTTTAAGCAAGTATGGGAAAGAAGTTTTGTGAAGTGTCAGTATCCCATTAGCCTTATTCCTTTAGGATGAGACTTGGAATTCAAGACGCTGATGAGTCGTAGGAGGAGAAAGCCTCTTGGAGACCAGCCTTTGCTCTCATGGGGCTCCACGCAGGGCCTGGCAGAGTGCCTGAGACAGTGTAGAGGTGGAGTGAGCTAGAACTAGGCAACTTCAGCCAGCTGAAGCAGTTCAGTAAAAGGTAAGTAACGAATAGAAGAAAAACTAGATACCTACAAAGTAGTTGCCTGGATCTGACTCTCACAGATGTCAAGTTCAGAAAGGATTCACAGGGTCCAGGTGTGAGTGCCATGCACCAAGAGAAGGAACACGCCAGGGTCTGGCTTAGTTAGACCAGGCATCCGGGTCCAGACAACAGAGGGATGACTTCCTTGATTGAATGGTTGGAAGTGAGATCTGAGGCACAGGCTGCTGGATTTGAGATGGTTCTCTGATGGTGGAAGCTGTGAAAAGAGGTAATGACAGCGTGACCACAGAGTTGGAAGGGTCACTGTGTAGAAGGTAACAACCATCTGAAGACCAGGACTCAGAAAGGAGTTTTAAAATTCAACCCATTATCAAATTGCAAGGCCTAACACGGGGACCTTGTTCATTTGAAGTACATACGTATCTGTGGAATCACAGTAGGTATTTCCTTATGAAATGTCTCAAGTATCCAAACAGCAGTACCTATAATCAGAGCAGATTACTTTAAAATTAATGCAGTTACATTCAGACATGACCTTGTGCAGTGAAACTGAGCCAAGGAGAAACTTGGATTCTCCACTTGATTCTAGAGTGAAAAGCAGCGGCCGCTCCGTCTCTGTGGTCATTTAACACAGGCCAAGTGTTTCACCACATGTCACCCAACAGGCAGGAAGGCTCTGATGCATAATGAGGAAGGAAAAGGCGTTTTGAAAGCACACACAGTTCTACCAAAATTGTACACCTTCCTCCTTCTCTAACTTTTTTTTTTTTTAATCGTTCAAGATGCGTTGAAGCTGTAATTTATGACACCTGTATCTGTTTAGGTCATAGCGTTGTAAGTGTTTTCTTGAGCTTTAAAAATAAATCCATTTGGGGAAGGGAAATTGAACCTGCATGATAATGTTAGGCATTCGAACGCAAGCACATGAGCTGAGAAAGTCAAAATCACAGTTTCCATGGTAACTCCTAACTTGTCTGTGTCGTACACATTTCTCAAGAAATACATTCGCCAGACTACCTAGTGATAAAAACTGCTCTGCAGGCATATGAGGGTAGCTTTCCCAATTTTCTCTCTTTCTGAAAGGTCTTCCCCCAGTTAATCCATCTGCTCTTCTAAATCACCCAGGCAAGAAAGTGAAGTCCAAGTTCTGACGTCTAAGTCAGCACCTTTTTTTGTGTGTTTTATGGTGGAGATTAGCCTTTGTGTGATTCATGCCATTTCCTGCCTTTCTCCTTTGCAGATATATGTTGGGTAAAGGAGGAAAACGGAAGTTTGATGAGCATGAAGATGGGCTGGAAGGCAAAATCGTGTCTCCCTCCGACGGTCCATCCAAGGTGTCTTACACCTTACAGCGCCAGACTATCTTCAACATTTCCCTTATGAAACTCTATAACCACAGGCCCCTGACAGAGCCCAGCTTGCAAAAGACTGTTTTAATTAACAACATGTTGAGGCGGATCCAGGAGGAACTCAAGCAGGAAGGCAGCCTGAGGCCCGGGTTCACCCCCTCCTCCCAGCCCAGCGACTCCCTGAGCGACAGCTACCGAGAGGCCCCGCCTGCCTTCAGCCACCTCGCACCCCCTCCCGCCCTTCCCTGCGACCTCGGAAGCACTACACCCCTGGAGGCCTGCCTCACCCCGGCCTCCCTGCTGGAGGACGACGATGACACTTTTTGCACTTCGCAGGTTGTGCAGCCCGCAGCTCCTACCAGACTCTCCCCTCCAGCCCTCCCGCCCGAGAAGGACAGCTTCTCCTCTGCCTTGGACGAGATCGAGGAGCTCTGTCCCACATCTACCTCCACAGAGGCCACCGTGGCAGCGACTGACAGCTTGAAAGGGACCTCCAGTGAGTCCAGCATCCAGAAACCCGAGGGGCCCCAGGAGGGCCGCACGGATGACTCAAAACTGATGGACTCTCTGCCTGGGAATTTTGAAATAACCACGTCCACGGGTTTCCTGACAGACTTGACCCTGGACGACATCCTGTTTGCTGACATTGACACGTCCATGTATGATTTTGACCCCTGCACATCTGCGTCGGGGGCAGCCTCAAAAATGGCCCCTGTGTCGGCCGATGACCTCCTCAAGACTCTGGCTCCTTATAGTAGTCAGCCCGTCACCCCGAGTCAGCCTTTCAAAATGGACCTCACAGAACTGGACCACATCATGGAGGTGCTCGTTGGGTCCTAAGACCCGGGGACTCCGCGACCTGACCCCACCGCCATGCCCGCCCAGACACTTCGAGCGTCTCCCCACAACCCTGACAATTCTCCGCACTGTGCATGCACCCTTGCCTGCCTTTTTCAGAGAAAAAAGAAAATTTTACAAAAGGATCACACTAGTTTTTGCTTTGAGCAGAGTTGGAGTGCCTTCATCCAAGTATGACCACTTTTAATATGCTTTTTTTTGAGTGGTTCCTCAGAGACCTACTATCCTGGTATAGGAAAGAGTCCATTTGAAGACAATGTTGCTAATGTTGAATGGCAAACATAAACAGTTCGAGTGAAGCACAAGGATTAAGTTGGAAAAGCTGTAAATTGCATGTGCATATTTGTCTATTTTTTCTATAAGTTTTAATGCAAGAGGTAAAAAAGAAAATATATATATATATATATATATATATTATTTAGATAATCTCAGTACCTTTCCTGGCATTTTCGCCCTGTATAGGTTGACCCGGCAAATCAGCCTTTTTAGAGGCATTAAGTACTCCTCGTAAGTGTTGCATTTACATGGCTGTTTAGAAAACTGCTGCCCAAATTTATTTTATATTTTTGTACAGATTCTGCAGTTTATGATATTGTTTTTCTAAAAACAAATGCTGTTTATACATATGAGATAGCTATTTTGATAGGATTTGCTCACATAGTTCCTGCAAACTTCAGATGTACAAGTTGCACTTGTACTTTTATAGAGTTGTAATGTTTTATATGTGTATGGTGCAAGAGAAAATTGGATCAAATCAATCTGCAGTTGATGTCCCCAAATGCAAACAGACACACACACACACACACACACACACACACACAGCGCTTTAAGAAAGGGCCAGGTGATATCACACCCAAATTTCACAAGCACCATCCCTCTGGCACAAACACCCGCCAGTACTGTGACTTCCAAAGCCAGAGCCGCATCTGCTCATCAAACTTGCATTAAGCAATTGGCAGGAGGTGGCCATGGAACTCGGGGTTGGAGTGATGGTTCTCCTTAGCTTCCTCTGTGGGGGGACAGCTATCATCTTACTTAAGAGTGTATTTATGCCAAGTTTGCGCTTTTAATTGTTTTTATTTTTATTTTTTTAATGAAAACCCAAATCTTTCCCTTTTTGGTGTAATTTTTATGATGAACCAGAAATTTTACATACAAACAAAATTTTATGAAAAGCAACCAACCTCTTCATGGAGCTGAGCCCTATTGCAATGCTCAGGGCTCATAAAGAAGAAATTCTTTCCAGAAGGCATCCATCATGTTGCTAAATTGTCTTTTCCAGCGTCCCTTCCCTAGAGCTTTTGTTCCCTCTGTTGCTAAGAGCTGGAAATGGCATCCTCATGATCACCACAGTGAGCTCGGCTCGCTTGCCTCGCCTCGGCTGGCCGGGATGCACTCTTCCTCCAACATCCGCGACTCTTGAAGCTGGAGTTCCTCACCTTGCATCAAGGCATCTGGTCTCGTTGCTTTCTTAAATCAACTGCTAATTTAACCACACTTTACGAGGCTGTTTTACCCAAATACACAGACAGGAATTTCTATGCATGTTTCCCCCTCCTCCCCTACGCCCCCCACCCCCCCGGAGACCCTTAAGAAGTAGCTTTTTATTCCTAGTGGTGTACATTTAATTTTAAAACATTTGCAATGTATCATGCTTGTTGCCGAGATTGTTTGTGGCCTTTCTGTTTCAGTTTTCTCTTTCTTCCAATGGTACTTTAGCTGTTGAGTGCAGGTTACAACCTATATTGTTATGCAGGTGGCTTCTTTAGGAATAACTTTTATATTTATTTAAAAATTTTTAAATTATGGGATTTTGTTTTGTTGTTATTGTTGTTGTCGTCTGTTGTTGGTCATTTGTCAATATTCAGTCACCAATTCTGCTCACTTCTTGCCATGGATAAAATTGGGTCTCTCTGGCCAATTAAAAAAGTCAACTTGAGAAAATGGCACTTTAAACAAGCCATAGATAGTTTTATTTTTATAATGCACATGGCAAAGCAAATACGTTTGTGATGAAGGACCTGCTCATCTAAGCAAGAGATTCGGGTATGATACGATTAAATCTTTTCTGCATTCTAATTTGCTTTTTTCTCCCACTCGAATGTGTCTTTAAAGGCTAATTATCAACTCAGTAGAGCAATGAGAAACTGATCAAATTGCAACTCGTTCTCCTACAAGCAACCTCCACGCAAACACCTCTTACTCCTGCACATGTGTCATTTCCTTTGATATAGGACCAGGGACCATATAATTAAGGTTAGAGTTGTTATCGATGCTTCCAGTGTCGCCGAGCTTCCCTTTCTTGTAAGGAGACGGGCCTGCCCAGGCTGCATGCATTGTACAACTGGAGGACCCTGCAAACTGGCCACGTGCTGCACACATCTACATACATACACACACACAATAGTGTTGATTATTCTGAACAATAACAGGGTAAAGCAGTTGATTTGCCATTGTTAAAAACTGATTTACAGTAACTTAGAACAACTGTACTTTCGTTGGATTACCAAACCGTGTGTTTAAACAAATCCCATATGTTGGGCAACAGTTCAAATAAGCACAGAGAAGCGCTGCCCAAACTTGGTTCTCTGACTCTGGTGTATTTGTAAGGCTGGGCTTCAAAATCAAAACAAAAACCCCCAGCAACAGCAGGCAAGTGCTTTTTAACTCTGAAACCCTTGCCATAAACTCTTGATGCTCACGGTCTAACAGAGATGTTCATGGGTAGCCAATGGCCCATTTTCAGAAAGAGTGAAGCCTTCCAGAGTTCAAAGTGTCTTTGTGTCCTATTTTTACCAAGCCATGTCCCAACAGAGAGGAGTAGGAGCCGGAGTGGGATCTCCACATCTCAGTTCCAGTGCAGGATGTGCTTCCAAATGCCTCTTGGCAGCAGTTCCTTCCCCTTTATGAGTGGCATCCAGAGCCAGGCAGGCAACTTGAGGTACCTTTAATGAGAAAGATGGTCTGGGTGGGGCTGGGGCTGGGAGAGGACAATTATTGACAGTGATGTGCAATGAAGTGACAAGATGAGAGCAGAATCATAAGAGCTTTGAATTTGAAGTGATTTTTTTTCCCATAAGTTATTTATTCCTTTTTTTTCTGTGTAAATATATTTATTTTACTGTGGAGCTCTAACAACATCTGGATGGTAATGTGCAGAATGTATGGTAGGAATGTATTCTCTTGTAGGAATGTAAATCTGTATTAAAAGGGGGTCCAAGCCAGACCCCCATGGGTCTTCTCATCAGATACACAGTCCACATCCACTTTTACTGTCTCTTCTAATATGGGTCTATTTGAAATATGCAAAAGGTATGGATGAGGAATGTTTTAATACCTCCAAATTTTTAAGGAAATCAAGCATCAAAGGGTTGATATTTTTAAAAGTTTTCTTAGTAGCACTTTCTCTTGATGACAGAAAGGGGCAACCACACGGGCACCCACCTTCATACCAAAGGGTGAGAAATGGCCAGAGCCTCCTACCACCCCTGAGTGTCTTTATCAATTGAACTTTTTATCGCCATAGCCCCTTGGAGTGCCCCCAACCACCCTGAGGTCAATCAAGAAAAATTTCTTAACTAAATAAGCTCCAAAGAGCCAAAGTATCAACTTACGGATCATTTTTAAAGCTTAAATTTATTAACCACCTTTGCGGTAAACAAATGAATTATGAATACCGCAGGGGCAGCCTTCTTAAGTGACAGATGTAAAAAAAAAAAAAAAAGAGACTGTGCAGCGATTGTTATTCTACTCTCTCTGAATTGTCTTAATTTCAAAACTTTGCTGTTACAAATTGGACCTTTATACCGTTTTCTGAAAAGATTGAAAAGAGCATATTTAACCTGTCCTGACTGTAAATGGTTAACTCCTGTAATTGCCCCACACATGGTGGGGGCAGCAAGGTGTTCCTGTCCTGCTTTATGTACAATTGTTCTCAATGCTTCCAAGAATGAGTCTAAATGGTTCTTGAAAATTAGCCAGGATCAAATGCTATTGCAGACAAAGCCAATAAAAAAAATTTTGGACTTCTTTTGGGGATAATAAGTTTGGAAGAGAAGTGCAGTCCACATGTACAAACAACCAAGATTTCRAAAAAGATGTACATAGTGACATGTTTGGTGCATGGGTTTTGAGGAAGGCTTTTTTTTTTTCTTGTCAAAAAGGAGGTGTGACCTTTCCCCACAGACCTGAGAGCTGTGCCTTTTCTATGCAATATTACAGACGTCACATCGGAACCCAGAGGGCTGTGTTCAATGTAGGTTCGGGCTGTAATCTAAACAATTGGACAGATTAAATGTACATGGAAATGAGCAGTCTTACTTTTGTAGTTTTATATTATACAATAAACAGTTAAAAGATGGGAGATTCGTGTTTGCAGTTCTTTTGATGATTTTTGTGTGTGGGGGGTGGGGGTGGAGGGATTGCTGGGAATGGGTTTCCCATGTGCTAGGCAAGCCCTCTACCCATTTGCCAAGCACAGGACCATTCGTTCCCCTTAACCCAGGGTCTTGTCCACAGAGATTCTGCCAGGATTGGTGCTCTCTGTCCTCCTGAGCCACTTTGGTCTCCAGAACCACCACCTTTCCTGGTTCTCTCTAGACATCGTTTTTGCCAGGGTTTAGCCCATGACCAGTTCTCCAGGCCTGTACCCTGCCCACTGCCGGCTTTCCCGAGGCTATCTCACCCACTCGGGAGTCTCAAAACTAGTTGCCAGCTCCTGCCTCGCTCCTGAGCTCTGGACATCAAAGTCAAATTCTAGAATTTTTCATCTCACACACAATGTGTCTCAAAATCAGCCTCTTTTCCCCAGAGGCCAAGCCTGCAGTCCTCACCCTGTTCCCAGGCTCCACATGTGAGGCGCGGGGCCCAATCCTAGCCTCTTGGTCCCTCTGCTGCCTTCTTGCCAGTCCTCCTCTGCCCCCCRCCATTGCACCTGCTTCCTAACTGGTCTCCTCCAGGTTTGCCTCTAGCATCTCTGACGCTGAAGGTGACTGACAGAACACCAGCGGTGATTGCTGCCCATTCTCCTGGAGCTCCCGATGRTAACAGCCTCCCAATGATAACCCTCCCACGAGCTTCCAGGGGCTAGCTGGGCCACCTTGGATGGAATCATGGGATCCAGCTTACCTTGTCCAGGCCATTCTGGGCTACTAGATCAGCTGGATAGGAGAGAGCTGGAAATTAAATGTAAAATAATGGAGGGGTGGGGTGGGGGTAAGTAATGGATGAATGGTGGCCTCCAAAGATGATAGGTCCAGTACCTCCAAATGTGACTTTAATTTGACAATAGGATCTTTGGCAGAAATAAATGATTTAGCATAATGATATAACTATGGGAAGTCATTCAACCTCTCTACTTTCGGGGACAA